ATGGTCTTGGTCTTCCTGTCTTGGAGCACCTCGGTGAGTGTGTGGTGGTCCCCCGAATGCGGGTGGCTGCTGGAGGGCACAGACTGTGCGCAGGAGTCGGTGGTGTGCGCCTGCGCTGGGGGAGGCGAAGGTGCGCTGTGCTGAGCGGGCATCCTCGGGGTCAGCGCGCTGCACAGTCTCCTGCTGAGCGTCTGCAGGGGAGGCTGGTTCCAGCACACAGCAGCCAGCGGCCCCAGCAGGGCACGGCGGGCCTGCTGCAGCAGATAGCGTCTCCGAGGCGAGCTGAGCACACGCCTGGGCCCAGCGGCAGGAAGCCCGCGCGATGGCCTCTTGCCGGCTCTCAGAAGAGAGATGGGCGCCCAGGAGGACAGCAGGGGGATGCTCTTGGAGGCCGAGGGCTCCTGAGGGCCAGCAGGTGCTTGACGCTCAGTGCCGTCCTGGCCCGGGCTGTCCGCGGGCAGGGACAGGCCAGTCTTGTCCAGATAGGCGCCCATGGCGCCCATTCAGAGGCGTTGGAGCTCTGTGATCAGAGTCCTTGGCTCTGGGATTTCGTTTTCCCGCCAACTCGGTGAGTTGCAGGCAATTCGAATGAGCAACGTTCACGAATGCCGCGAGCCACCAATGATGTCCACGTGTGTGAGCGCTGGAGTGTGGACAGGGCGCGCGCCCTGGGGCTTGGACCTCTCCCAGCAGACCCAGCGGCCTCCAGCCTCACCCGGCCCCGCAGGACACCCAGCAAGCTAGGTACATTTGTACCAGATATAGCCCCAGGAACAGCACTAGATTTAGCCGAAATAATGATGATTAACAGGCTGAGCAGTGTCAGGCATATAACCAAGTACAGGACGAGGACTAGAGTTATTCAAGGTTTACTTACAATCATCGTTTATATTGTTGATACGGGTAAAAATTGGAGACTTTTCCTGTCCTTGCATTTTCTTTATTTATTTGTCATCAGGGATACACATCACAATCTGGCTTGGTTTTTATTTATTTATTGAAGTATTTGCTTTCTCTCGTAGCCTCATGGAAAAGTTTTCTAGGCTGACAGAGCTTGTGTTTATTTACACACAAGGACATAAACCTGTGGTGGTCGTCTACATCACACTTCCCTCCACAGAAGGCCTAAAAGGAGGGAAGAGTGGAAAGGCAGGTGGAATAGCAGCAGTAGACACCAAGCTGAAGGCTTCAGCGTCTACACATAAAGGTTCAGCACTTGTCGAATGGGCAAGGATGTAAGACCTACCTGTGCCCTGTTCACCAGCAATGTATGACAGAGACACATACAGGTGGAGAACAGAAAAACAAAGATAAACTGTAGAAATACTAAACCTAAGAATGTTGAGGCTTGGTTTGACAGTGCATGCTGTAGTACTAGGTAGGTAGGAGGTAGTGGTAGGAGGAGGATGGTTCAAGACCAGATTGGGAAAAGTGTGAGATACTAGCTGGTGAAAAATCATAAAAAATGATAAAAATAGAACTAGAAGAAGTGGCTAAAAATATAAACAGAAAAGAAAAAAAGAAAACATTATTTATTTTAATTTCAGATAAAGCATATTACATGATTCCTAGAGATTGAAACATTTCATATAGCTTAAAAGTTCATTGTGAAGGTACACACAACAGCACGTATGTGAAGTTTTATTATTCAGAAGCTAAACTAGAAAAAATTAAACATATGAGAAAAATCCTAATGAGTAGGAAAATGAAATAGTTCATTTTTCAGCATCTAATAGCTTAAAAAGTAAATTCAAAATTCAGTAATACTAGAAGATTTGAATGGCAGTAAAATAGAAAAAATAAGAGATTTTTGATGTGTTAAAGACATAACATTTAGTGTTTTGAAGACTATAGCTTGCAGCATGTCATCTTATTTATTTTTATTCATGTATGTTGTCATACACTGGAAGTATTGTTTCCTTGCATTTTCACACACACACACACACACGCACACACACACATACTGCACTTGGATCATATTTACCCCTCTATTATTTTATCTGTCCTCCTTCCTTCTTTGTGCTCCTCCTTTTTCCTTCTCCAAAGTCCCCATTTTATTCCCATGACCTTTGCTTTGTGAATCATGTAATTTCCAGGTAAATGTACACCTTGATGAAGTGGTGATTAGCAAACACTCCGCAGAGATCAGCCAAATGCTGCTCTAATGTGACACTTGGGGTAGACACCCCGGCCCCAGAAATAGAGCAGTCTTGATGCACTGGTGCTTTGAAGTGATCATCATCAGTTTATTATCAGTGGAAGAGACCACAATGTTCTTCCCCTACTTTACCATAGCAATTACTTTAGGTTGATTATTTTGAGAAACTAAACACACAGTTCTGAAGACAGAATGTAAGTTTATCTTTTTTTTGAGGGAACTTCCCATCTATGAAGGAAATGTCCAGTTATAATCGTGTCTCTGTACCAAGAAGAGTAGGATGACTCAAAACTCATAAGTTATTCCTGTAAATGGCAGAGGCATTGACTTCTATCAACCCTTATCCCTGTTTGTCATCCTTTTCCAAGAGACTCTATCAGAGTTTGTCTTCCTTGCCCCACAGCTCAAACCCTCTTTATTTAATGCAAGTTGATTTATGGTTAAAGTTAACTTGTGCTTAGGCTGCCTCCTACCTTGAGTCCCTCCATAATGACAGCCACTTAGCCCAGGAGTTAAATGAAGAGAAGATTACACTTGAGGCTTACTTTCTATAACAAGAAGGTAAGTCTCAACCAATCACAGATGCCAAATTTCCTCTGGTCTCACACGACTTCTTATTTGACTTTGTGCAAATATGACAAATACCGAACTATAACCTATCAAACTATGCTTAGGCCCCACTTCCATTTCCTTCTGTCTAAACACTATTTTCCATTGCTGCATGTCTGAGTTCTCTGAACCTCTTCTGGTTGGAGGTCTGTCCAATTCTGTGAACTGTGCCTTGCTCAATTTTTAGTAACTTTGCTCTGAGCAATATGAACTCAATTGAACATCTGTTTGAGTTGCTCTCACCTGAGTTTCTCCCATGAACTATGGATGTGAACAGACTTGTATATATTTTCTTCTCACTAACCTGGGTTCCAACTGAGAACCCAGCAAGATAGGAGACTTTCATTCTTCCTCTAGTGCTGTGACTCTGATCTTTTCCCTTGTGAATTACTATGAGCAACTAAGAATACCCCTCAAACAGAGAAGGATTTTTTTCAGTGTGAATTGTACAAGGCCTCTCCTTGACAAATCCATAGGTTCTTAGTGGGCTACTTTGTGGAGAAGTGTCCTGCTTTTCCTTAGGAAGATGGTTTGCCACATTTGGCAACCAGAAATATAATTGTTTCACCAGTAAAATGTGAATAAATAACAGACATAGACACTTCCTGACTTATCATGCTTTAAATGTTCCTTGGCACCAATGTGATATACCTTAATTTTAAATTAGACCATTTTGTTCAGTTGGCTAGGAGTGCTATGTGCTCATTTGATCTAGGTTTTCATTGATAACCAGTTTATTGGGCTGTAACTACATTACAAGTAGAACAACCTCTCTACTTATTTTTTTAAAAGTAGAATTTGTTCATTGTTGATCTGAAATTCAAGTTTAACTGGGTTTTCCTTTTTCCTTTCTTTCCTGGAAAGACAAACAATAATCTTCTAAAAACATCGGCTCTTCTCATTCAAGCAGAGCTCAGGAATGAAGACAGACCAAAGAGGACTCTTGTAACTCAGCAATCTTCCTGGTACCATATGAGAAGTGGCTCAGAAGCAGTAGAGAATGGGGCATTGTGAACATTGTCTTTTTATTAAATATTTATTATTCTATACATACAACTATGTAAAAAGGAATAAATATTGCCTTCTAGAAAACAGAGAGCACTGAGAGCATGTGAGAACACTTGAGAACACAGGGTCAGGTTAGGTTTTCATGGCTGCCCTAGGAGGGAGTGGAAGATCAAGTTTTGTTTTTCTGGTACATGAATCATATGAACATTTTCTCACAGTAGTGATATTTCTATTGACAAAATAAAATACATCGTAGTAAAAAAGGAAAACCAAAACAACACAAATAACAAAACCTACTAAGTAGAGTGTAAACAATTGCAGATCATGCAAGAGAGACTTTCATCTCAGACACAACTTATAATATTTAAATCTCTGTCCTTACACAGATATTGGAGCAGTGTATAAAACTTTTCTCAGCACAATTCAACTAAACAATCTCCTTAGCCCACAAAAGTATCATCTTCATGTTTCATTTCCTTAACAATATAGAAGTCAAGAATTTAGGTAGTCTGTAAAAATTACAAAATTTTGTGGCAGGGAGTATTTATGTCTACTCTTCCTGATCTGCACGTATATTTTGAAGTATAGCACTTTCTGAGAGACATAAATGCAATCTACTTTGGATCCACATAACTCTGGTAACTTTGTTACAAAAAAAAAAAAACAAGGCAACGATGTTGTGCATAGCCAGGTCACTATTTGAGGATTTTACAATATAGCATCTATTACCCATATACTAAGTCATGACAAGCCAGTGAATTCATCGGAGATACCAGAATAAAAGCATAATTTCAAACTTCGTAACGGAAGATACATAAGACCCTATGATATTTTTTGGCAATTTACCTGAAAAAGAAATGCTTGAAAATTCACTTTGCTTCTATCAATAATTATTTGGCATCATGTTAGGCGGTGTGCATCCTATGGCAGTGTTAGAATGATTGATAAGACACCATCCCTACAATAGTAGGGAATGGAATTAGTAAATTTGCCTCCACCAAATTGTGGCTGTTCAGAAAATAGTATATCTTGCCATAGCAACTCAGGAGGCCTAAGGTCTAAGGATTGAGATTTGAAACTGGCCAGAGGAGTAAAGTCCATGGATTTCTTATCTCCAATTAACCATCTTAGAACTGGAAGTTGAGTTGTAGTTCAAGTTGTAGAGTGCCAGCTTTGAGCAAATCAACTAAGCAAGGTCACAAGGCCTGGAGTGCAAGCCTTAGTATTCAAGGAGGAAGGTAGAGACTATGCTGAGATTTTCAAGCAATGAGTGATTATTACTATAATAAGTAAGACATGACTCACTTTATGGCCAGCATATGCTCAAATATCTCATGCATACATACACAGTGTTTATTCTTACTATTTTAATGCTTCAAAATTTAACATATCTCTTAAAGGAAACATACAAAGACAGTGGGAGACCAGACTGTAGAAGTGACTTGGGATAAATGAGTTATGTATTTGCTTGGGGCAGGAATGTTGAGACTCTACGTTAAATGTTAACAGGGTATGAGGGAAAATTCAGTTTCCTGGGTTTGCAAATGAACTGGATACCACATATCAATTTAGCAAATTCCCACAAGCCAGATGTCCCTGTGTTTTGTGATTATTGTCTGCACAAGTTGCTAAAAACAGGCCCTTAATAAATAACATCATCTCTCTGTCTTCAGGGTATCAAGAAGCCTTTCTAAAACACATCAATGGGAGCAGAGACAGTGTGGCTCTGTGCAGATCAGTGACTGAGAAGAGGTTCAAGTTCAATTATCTCTTGTCTGCAGGTCTGCAGGTCTCCTGAAAGTCCAGGAATATGCGCAACATTCAGCCAGTCACTGCTAGTTCCATTCTTGGTGAGTCTGTGACCGAATGCTATTAAGGACTAAGAGTGTTGCACAGTGCTGTGCTTGGTGACTCCGGCATTAGCTGTGGTCATGGTAGAGTTAGAATGACCAGATTCTGCAAAAGCAGAAGTGCTGGGGACTCCAGTTCCAGAAACCACAGTGTTTCTAACTTTTATGGAGGCTTCCGTGGGCATCTGATAACTGGAGTGCAGCATGGCAGCAGGGGTTATCACTCTTTCTGTCACCATCACACCATCACATTCCCCCTGTTTGGGGTGGTTACAGTAGGTTGTACCCCTGAACTGGGAACAGGGATGCTCTCTCTCTCTCTCTTATCATAACAATGTGCATCTTTAAGATGCTGGTGGCATCTTAATCCTGGTTCTGGACACCTGCATTGGGTTGGATCACTCTTTCTGTAACTACAACATTCCCTTCATTGGTATAATGGTGATCTACCATGGTGGAGGCTGGGCTTCTCTGTCACAATAAGGCTCTGAGGTTGTCCTGGACCCAGGATCACGGTGCCTGGTGGCAAAGTAGAGCTTTTGGCACAGGAAGATCCTGCCATTATGATATTCCCAGAAGCCCTGGGTTCAGGCAGAGGTGGCACTATCTTTTGACTCTGCCTGGAAGATACAGATGTTTCAGTGACTGTCTCATGAGTTACTTTTTCTGTGTGTGCTCCATGCATGGGTTTTGGGACTTGAAAGCTCCTTTTAGAGAAGTAGCTATTGCCTGAATTTACCACGGTTTGCTCATGCTGTGCCAGCGAAACTGTGCCCCTGTTTGTTTCTTTAATGAGGTTCTACCTTTGCTCCATTTCCACTTCAACCAGTGTCTTGAATTCAAGTCCCAAGCCATATATGAAGTGGTCCTCTAGCTCTCCCTCAATAAAGCTTCTGCAGCTTATGGAGGCCCGTAGAGAATCCGTGTCTTCCTGCGAATCAACCAGTAGGCAATCTTTGGCTATGTGACTGTCATCGTTGTCAGTGTAGGAGGCTGCTTTCTAAAATGAAAATACAAAGAGAGACAAATAATTAATGATACAAATTCTCTTAAAAATAAGACAGTTGGACAAGGATGTAGCTCAGTGCCAAAATACTTACCAAGCAAATACAATGCCTTGTGTTCATTTTCCAGTCTCAAAAAAGAAAAGACAAAAAATAAAAAATTTAAATAATTTTTTATGTAAAAATAGTGTAGAGAGGGGTTACAGTTACATGAGTAAGGTAATGGGTACATTTCCTATGGAGCACTTTTACTTCCTCCTTTGTTTTTCCCCTAATGTCCCTTCCCACCCCACTGCCCCAATTCCTTCTTCCCTCCCCTCCCCCAGAAGTTGTAAAGTTTGTTTTCAACATAGTATCTTGCTTGTACATCTAGTTGTTACAATGGGTCAAAAAAACATACATATACAGTAACAACAAACCCTTAAAATCAGGACTTTAAAAATTATTCTGTTTAACTTCATCTTATCTGGTTATATCAGCGAAATGAACCCGAGATATTGGCAAAAATGGTTTTTATCTCTCTTGCTATTGTTTCTAACATATTTATAAGGTACCATGTGAGTTTTATGTTGCTTTATATGTTCCTCCCCCATGGTAAAAATCCTGTTTTCACTGTATTTGATGGTGCTGTAATTTGGGGAGCAGAAGGGAAAAAACAAAATATTTATAATAGGGATACATGTTCACGCATTGTAACAATGAGATGTACAAGTCACTATGTGGAAAATAAACTTTACAATTTAGGCCTGAGGTGGGGTGGAGAGGCTGGAGATTGAGTTAAGTTGTGGAGGTTGGAAGAAATGGATGGTAGGGGAAAAACATAGGAGGAGGCAACAATGTTTGCTATGAAAGGTACTCATTACCTTGCTCATGTAACTGTACCACCTCTGTACAGTATATTCACAATACAACTTATTAAAAAGAAAAAGAACAAAGAAACAAAATCCAAAAATAAATAAAATAAGCCTATTTAAGCTGGGTGCTGGTGGCTCATGCCTATAATCCTAACTACTCAGAAGGCTGAGATCTGAGGATTGCAGTTGAAAGCCAGCCTGGCTCAAAATGGTAGAGCACTAGCCTTGAGCCAAAAGAGCTAAAAGACAATACCCAGGCCCTGAGTTCAACCCCCATGACTGACAAAAATACATATATAAATAAAAATTTCCTAATATAAATGTGATACCGAGGTATAATAATTACAAGGAAGCATAAGAAAAACATCAACTGAGAGACAGACTACATTTTAGCAAATGTATACTTAAAAACTATACATATATATATATATATGTTAATATAATGAAGCAGATGGGATGGTTTATGACTATAATCCCAGCTACTTGGGAGATGGAAATCAGGAGAATCAAAATTTGAGGCTGGCCTGGGCAAAAGGTTAGTAAGATCCCTTCACAACAAGTCATCTGGGCTATGTGTGGTTGGCAGGTGGTTCTTGGTCCAAGCAACTCAAAGCAAATGTAAACAGTGAAAAAGAGCTGGAGGCATGGCTGAAGTAGCAGAACACTTGCCTGGCAAGTGCACCTGAAAATCCCCCACAAAAGTGGGTGTATAATCAAAGTACCTGTACACATGCATGTGTCACAATGAAATCTATTATTTCTATACTGAACAGAAGCTAATAAAAATACACAAAAGAAGGGGCTTTTATATTGAAGGAAAATAAATGATCATGACAAGTAAATCTAATGAAGCATCTTGACAAGATCCTGGATAGAAATGCAATTCTATAAAGGCAAATTTCAAATATAGATTGTATCCATTTAAATTTCTCGATTTTTGATGGTACTGTATGGTACTATAGATTATTGTGTGAATGCATGTACAGATGTGAATGCGTGCATGCATATGACATGTAAGCACATATTCATCTGCATGAATGTATACAGTGTGCATGCCATATACTTATTATGTGTGTTTTTTGACACATACACACATGTGTGTATGTAGTATGTGTAAGAGAATTGAAGACAAAATGGCAGATGTAGAGAAATACTAAAAATCAGGTGATACTGGGTAGATTATTCAGGAGTTCAAAATTTCTATCCTTGCATGTTTTCAGACAAATTCTTTGTGGGTGGTAGTGAAATTTGATATGCACTTTTCTGATAAGTTAGAATTATTTCCCAATCAAAAGCTAGCAATATCTGCATAACCAAGTTTTACCAGGACAGGATTAGAGTGGGCAAGGAAAATATGTTGTCATTCCAAATATATAAACAGCAATTCTTACATCAGTGAATTGATTCTTTAAGAATTCCTCATTCATGGTACCAGAAGGGAAGGGAAGGGGAAACAAAGGAAAAGGCAACAATGCTTGGTAAGAAATGTACTCATTATCTTGCCCATGCAATTGTCACCCTCTGTATGGTATTTTCACAATTTATAAAAAGACAAAGCAAACTAAATAGATAGATAGAGAGATAGATAGATAGATAGATAGATAGATAGATAGATAGATAGATAGATAGATAGATAGATAAAATTCTGGCTTTTCACAGTCTTTGGGCTAGTACTCTCATCAGCCAAGTTCCGTTATTTAAATGAAGACACAGTACAATAATATTTTCCACATAATTCAATAAATGGTGATGGTCAAAATAAAACTGTCCAAACAAAAATCTGGAGGCCAATGTCCCAATGACTATGGAGTGTAAGAAGCCTTGACTCAGAGACCTTGAGACACAGGGGTGGGGAAGACACTGATTCCCCATGTGCAAGTACAAGGCACAAGCTGAGGGAGCTGTTAAGTTGATTGTAGTCTCCATTAAGTTGTAATGCATTAGTTTCTAAATTAAAATGAAATGCCTGCCTTCCATCAAATGATTATTTGTACACTGTACTTGTACATATCTTATGTCCTGATTTTTCTTTATTGTTTTCATAAACATATTTGCAGTAATCGGTTCTTTAGGTGCACTTACTTAACTATTCTAATACTATGCATTTGGGACATTCACAATTTTTCAATAAAATTAATGTGGCCAGGAGCAGTAACGTACAAATATTTTCCTTTCTTGACCTACATCCTATTGCTTACGGATTACTTAAATTTTATTTAGGTTTTATTCTACTATTGTTCTTTATTTAAATGTCTCTGACTGCACCATTTTTGCTTGACTCTTCAGGGTAACATGAAATACATCCCATACATTGATATGAATTAGAACAAAACTATTCACTTGTTTTTTTTTAGATGACTGCTTGTAAGTTTTCTTTTCTTCTTTCGAAGTGTAGAAAACAATTTATTCTGTCTAATTATTTAGGGGGGAATATCTGGTAGTGAGTTTTGAACTCAGGGCCTTGATCTTCCTTGGCTTGCATACTTGTTCAGTTGGCACTCTACCACATGAGCCATACCTCAGACCTGCTTTCTGCTGCTGAATTAGAGATTGAGTCCCACAGACCATTCTGTCTTGGTTGTCCTGGAACAATGATCGTCTACATCTCAGCCTCCTGAGTAGCTAGGATTATAGGTGTGAGCTACAGGTCTATTAGTATGTCTCCTCTTCTAAGAAGGGATCCTTATGATGTTTGGATTGACACCAGCCTATTAGGACCCCTTGGATGTGAGCAGCCAGTGCCCAGGCATAGGTCGGAGCATGGAAGGGAAAGACCCCTGTGGGCCCAGTGCTCTAACACTCCTGAGAAATCTCAAGACCATCCTCTGAGCTTTTCACTGCACCCATTATACCAGATGACACCCAGGGATGCCTGGCCCCTGAGCTGTAGACAGATTGCCCAGCCTGGACTGCAAATCTCTCAAGTGTGGACAGAGGGGGAAATTTTAAGCCAGGCTTTCATGAGACAAGCAGCACAGTGTCCCAGCATTGGCTTTTCCCTGAAGCCTTAATGTTGAATCATCAGAAGTGCTAAAAAGTCATCCCTGAACCTCAGCCTGGGTGCTCATCTAAAAGATGGTCGCAGTCCTGTGTATGCACATATGGTCTTCTGGGTAGAGTACACCCTGGCCTGGAGGTCTGAAGGGAGTATGGGTCTCTTTCTGACTATATTGCTGTATTCCTTCTAGGAAGGAGCGCATTACATGAAGTGGATAAAGGTGAGTGGCAGCTGCCTGGACAGGATGCGCCAGGACTCACAGGCCATCCATTCTGTCCTGCCCGGCTCCCCGTTATTAACATAGACTTTAGGTACAGAGAGAAGGTCTTTCCAGAAGGCAGGTTTAGGTAAGAAGTGGGATCAGTAGAGCTTCCTGTGAACCACTGTGTGCACACAGCTGTGAGAGCACAGAGCAGCCTGGCTGGACTGAGTGGAGGGTTCCAGAGCCCAGCCAGCAGAGCTGGTCTCTCCCTGGCCTTCACAGCCCAGCCCCGTCTCTACTTTGTGCTCTCCCTGGCCAGGAATATGATAGCATTGAGCAGTTGAAGCAGCTACAGGTGAGCTGAAGTTATGACAATATAATAGTAGAAGAGAATTGTATTGCCTGGTTCAGGAGATTCTAGAGATTCAGCATAGATGTGGGTTGTGAATGTGTTGAACTAACTTAGTCTGGGTGGGCAGGAGCCAGGGAAGATACTACGCTCCCATGCAGGATATGCGGGTCTGATGCTATGACCTTCTTGCTGGGCAGCCCCATTCATGGGTTTGCCAGGCCTCAGCATTCTGTGTTCTCTTTCATGTCTCTGTGATCCCTAACTCAGACCCGGGAAGGGAATAGGGAAACGGCGATTGACCAAGATCCTTTCTCTACTTGTGGTTCATACTATTGTCCCAGAAAAGCTCATCTCTTACATACAGTTTCTGGAAGCTCCTAGACCTGGCTCCCAAGCTGGGGCACCCTTTAGTGTCCTGGTTTCTCCACAAGTGAGGAGAGGGGCCTCCCAGCCATCTCCTGGGATGTTTGGGATCACCTGAGCCTCCACCAAGAAAATCTTCCCCTTGTATTTGAGGGCCCCCCCCCCAAGGCAACAGCCAGAGCTGTGCTTCAGGGTAAGAATTGTTAGCTCCTCTGTGCCTCTGATTGACAAGCAGGCCGGAGACTCCTGTGTCATCTGAGTGAGCCTGCTGAAGGATACTGGACCTAAAGCCTGAAAAATTGATCATGGATGGTTGAGCAACATGGCATTCCCTTGGTGTCTTCATGGAGAGACAGCATCCTGCGCATTGGAGACCATCTGAGATTTGGTATTATGGAAGTGTTGAAGTACTCGATCTCTTCATAGTTTATATGAATGAATAGCAGAAAGATTGGGAAGAAGAGGTTTAGAAGTGGAAACTGCCATTTTGATTACTGATATGCTACTAAAATTCTGGTTTTACTGTTGTGTGGTCATTGTGGTTTTATTGTTTCATTTTCGT